TTTGTTTTTGTCTTTTTTTAGAAATTGGCTTCATTGGACGAGTCCATTTATTTATAAAATGTATAATATATAATAAAAAATAATTATTCATAATATATTTGGTCTATTATCAAATGTATTAGTCAAAATATAGCCAACATCTATCCAAAAATAAAAAATAGTTTGTTATTGGATAGATGTTGGCTATATTTTGACTTTATTGTACGAGTAAAAAGTGCTTAATTTGTTCCCATAAAAATTAATATTTAATTAATGTATTTCTATAATATGGTAATATAAATTAAAATGATAAAAATTAATGTATTTTATAAATATATGTTATGTATTTATAATATAATATTTATTATTTAAAAAATATTTATTTATTTATTTTTGTTGTTTTTCCTAAAAGACTTAAAAGAAGTACTGCTAGTCATTTTGGATAAATAAAATGTAGATTGCCAGACCTGTAAGACAATATTAGTGTTGCAGTAGTTTCTTAAAATCTGTCCCGTCTTTCACGTCTGCATCTGCATCTCCAGCCGTCACTCCAGCCAATTTACCGTCAGTCAGGCTGAACTCAACTTATTTATTTAGACGAGCACAGAAAAAACCTCCCGAAGAGGAGAAAACAGACGGGAACGCGTCTCGTTTCGAGGGTTTTCTCTCCACGCCGCGAGTCTAAGCCGCGTAGCCAATCAGCCGCGTGTCGGGTTCAAAAATGACAGTCTAGACCAAACTATATGTGAGCCTGGAGCACAAAAGCAGTCTTAAGTCGCTGGGGTATATTTGTAGCAATAGCCAACAATACGTTGTATGGGTCAAAATTATTGATTTTTCTTTTATGCCAAAAATCATTAGGATATTAAGTAAAGATCATGTTCCATGAAGATATTTTGTTAATGTCCTACTGTAAATATATCAAAACTTAATTTTTGATTAGTAATATGCATTGCTAAGAACTTCATTTGGACAACTTTAAAGATGATTTTCTCAATATTTAGATTTTTTTTGCACCCTCAGATTCCAGATTTTCAAATAGTTGTATCTCAGCCAAATATTGTCCTATCCTAACAAATTATTTGTTCAGCTTTCAGATGACGTATGAATCTCAATTTAGAAAAATTGACCCTTATGACTGGTTTTGTGCTCCAGGGTCACACTTCAGTTTTCTTGATGTTTTTGTGTCTTCCAGAAGCATCCGGCCATGATAATGTAAATTTATCTTATATTTACTTGCGAACGAGCGACGGATGAACGTCGGCGTGCTAAAAACCGCTCGGATACGTAAGTTTGTAAGTTCATTACGGCGAGTTGTTCAGATTTATGAAGTGCGATCGCTCTCTGCTTTTAGCAGCGCTAATCACTTGACGTCGCTCTGTTTTCACTCTGTCAGACTAATTCAAGTCGTCAGAAGAGTACTTGCTCATATTTTACCTGCGCTGCTGTCAGCTCCACTCAAGCTCACTAAAGAAGCCCAGCTTATGAAACTGATATTTCTGGCTCATAAATCTCACCTGACGACCCACGTTTGATTGAAATGCAGCTTGGTTATATATTACTGCATCGAGGACTGTAAGCAGCCTACGGTTAGCGTTGATTATGCCAGCTCTTATTAAGACTACAACAATAATAAGAAGAATACTGTAAATAATAGTATTAATAATAATAATTATTCTGTTTTTTTTATGTATAACTATTTCTTTGTGATTTTTTTTTCTTGCACTCTTTTTGTTATTCTCATATTTTATTTTCATCCATTTCTTGTTTTTTTTTTTTTTGTCTAATTGTTTTCCTTTTGTTTTTGCTTTAGTTTTTAAATTTTTTTTTTTAATTCTTAATTTGGTTGACCCACGTTTGATTGAAATGCAGCTTGGTTATATATTACTGCATCGAGGACTGTAAGCAGCCTACGGTTAGCGTTGATTATGCCAGCTCTTATTAAGACTACAACAATAATAAGAAGAATACTGTAAATAATAGTATTAATAATAATAATTATTCTGTTTTTTTTATGTATAACTATTTCTTTGTGATTTTTTTTTCTTGCACTCTTTTTGTTATTCTCATATTTTATTTTCATCCATTTCTTGTTTTTTTTTTTTTTGTCTAATTGTTTTCCTTTTGTTTTTGCTTTAGTTTTTAAATTTTTTTTTTTAATTCTTAATTTGGTTCTTTTTGATCTTTCTTTGTTTTGTCATTTGTACATTCTTTTTGTTTCATTCTTTTCTTGTATTCTGTTTAATAATAATAATAATATATTATATTAGTATTATTGTTATATTTTATGTACTTATACGTATATATCTTTAGTTTTGTTTGTTTTTGTTTTGTTCTTTTGTTTCTGCTTTTTCATATATTTTTGTCTTTTCATCTGTCATTTCTTTGTTTGTTTCTTTACTTTTGTTATTCTCATTTTATTTTCATTTCATTTTTTGATGTTTTTTGTCTGTTTTTTTGTCTAATTTTTTACCTTTTGTTCTTTTTTTTTAATTAAATTTTGTTTCATTCATTTCTTGCATTGTGTTTAATTGTTTTCTTTCATTTGTTCTTTTTTAAATGATATTAATAAAATAATTTATTCAATATAATAATAGCAATAATATATATATATATATATATATATATATATGTATAATTATTATTATAATTTTTTTTAAAATCATGTCTTTAATCATTTTACTCTTAACTTGGTTTAATATAACTAATAAACCGCTCAAGGCAAAATGTGATAGAGATTTTACTGTATCAAAACCCCTTTACTATGGTAAAACCACTACATTTTGACCTCAAGTGGCTTATCACTGTCATTTACTGTCTCCATGCCGTGAGTTTCCCGCTGAAAGCAGATCCCGCGGCTCCCCGGAGGTGTTTTAAACACTCAGATTCCTCTTACAGAGGCGACAGCGAGCCACCAACCCAAATAAACCATTCCAGGGGGAAAAAAAACCCAAGAGTAACAACAACAACAACAGCATCTCCAGCTTGTTTGCTTCCCAAAGGCTTGAAAAAGGGGCCGTGAAGTGAAAGACAGCTTGTTAGTCGACGCTTTCTTTGCCTCCTCGTTTCTCCATGCTATTTTGGGTTTTTCCTAAGCGCTCGTACGCTTGAACTCACCTGAACATGTGTGCATGTGGCATAATAAACGAATGCCCAGAGACCGTGTTTGTATCCCGTCCTCCATTCCGGCTCCGGCTGGGCTCCGACGCGCCGCTGTTCCTGTTTAGCTTGTTTAATTGGCTGAAAACTAAACAAATGTGGTAACACTTTATTTTAGAGTCTCTTAACTAGTTGCTTATTAGCATGCATATTACTAGAATATTAGCCATTTATTATTACTAATTAAGCACATATGTAAGGAATAATCAACGGCTAGCCGTGCATTAAAGGATTTTAATGCATGACGTGGAGGCAAAGAACCACCTCGTTGCTGGGGAATATAATGCAGCGATCTAATATCTAGGTGGTGTGTGTGTGTGTGTGTGTGTGTGTGTGTGTGTGCGCGCGTGAGTGCGCGATGTGTGTTGGTTAGAGTGCATCAATTAAAGCAGCGCATTAATATAGAACGGTGATTAAACTGACTTGGAACTACCTGTGCATTAAACTGTTTTACTGCATACCTGCCAGCTAATCAGAATCCAGTATTCAGACAGACCATGGAATAATAATGCCTTATTCTACATCCCTAATCCTCCCCAATACCTAAACTATTCTACATCCCTAATCCTACCCAATACCTAAACTTAATAACTACCTTACTAACTATTAATAAGCAGCAAACTAGGAATTTATGAAGGGAAAAGTCGTAGTTAATAGTGAATAAGTGTTCCCTATTCTAAAGTGTTACCAAAAATGTTAAATATTTTTAACGATTAATGACTTGAAACGGCCTTGAGACATGTTTAGCTTGAGTAACAATGTGTTTCCAACTGAATGTCAATATTCAGGATTTTATTAATTGTGATTTAATTGTTTTTGTAAAAAGTATTATTTGTCCCCGCCTACATTTTTTTTTTTTTAATGTAACATACATTAGTAATATGGTATGTTTATATATTAAATATGTAAGGAATAATCAACGGCTAGCCGTGCATTAAAGGATTTTAATGCATGACGTGGAGGCAAAGAACCACCTCGTTGCTGGGGAATATAATGCAGCGATCTAATATCTAGGCTATTTAATAAAAATCACGGGGAAGCGTGGACAACAAGTTTGTGTGTGTGTGTACAGCGCAATCAGCGATCTCTGACCTCTCTCTCTGTGTGTGATTTTTAACGATTAATGACTTGAAACGGCCTTGAGACATGTTTAGCTTGAGTAACAATGTGTTTCCAACTGAATGTCAATATTCAGGATTTTATTAATTGTGATTTAATTGTTTTTGTAAAAAGTATTATTTGTCCCCGCCTACATTTTTTTTTTTTTAATGTAACATACATTAGTGAATCATACACAATATGTTTAATGTTTTAGTTTTGTTTGTTTTTCCTTTTGTTTTTTCATTAATTCGTTTGTTTGTTCGTTTGATTTTGTTTTAATGATCTTGTTAGTTTTTTTGCTCATTTTCTTTCATCTTTTCATTCTTTTCGTATTAAACATAGGTGGATAAAGTTGTTTTTTAATGGAAAATTACAAAAAGTGTTTTTTTTTTTAATAACGTACAGTGAATCATAAACATTTTGTTTAATATATTTTAGTTTTGTTTGTTTTTACTATTTTTCGTTAATTTGTTTGTTTATTCTTTTTTGTATTCTTTAATTTTTAAGCTTTTGTTTATTGTTCTTAGTTTTTTGTTTGTTTTTTATTTGTTTTTTTCTGTTTAGGTTCTACTTTTGTTTTAGTTAGTTTGTTAGTTTTTTGCTCCGTTGTTTTTCTTTTTTTATATTTTCTTTTATTCATTCTTATTGTATTTCATCTTGTTTCATTCATTTTGTTAATTTTTCATCATTAAACGTTTTAAGAAAGTTAAGAAAGTTAAAAAAAATTACAAAATCTGTTTTTTTTTTATTGTATTATATTTTTTATTGAATCGTACACAATACATTTTAATGTATTTTAATTCAGTTTGTTTGTTTTTTTACTTTTGTTATCGTTCATTCATTTTTGTTCTTTCTGTATCTATTTATTTTGTTCTTTAATTCTTACATTGGGCCTTTTTTCTTCATTCTTTGTTTTTGTTGATTATTTAATTTTGTTCTGTCATTTGTTTTTCTTATTGTCCTTTCATTTGTTTTTCTTATGTTGTAAAATTTTTTCGTTATTTTGGTGTTTTTTTTGTTTGTTTTAGTTCGTAAATTTTTCGCTTGTTCAGTTCGTTCTGTTTCTTGTTTCTTATGTTGTAAAATTTTTTCGTTATTTTGGTGTTTTTTTTGTTTTTAGTTCGTATATTTTGCGCTTGTTCGGTTCGTTCTGTTTCTTGTTCATTAAACTTTTTTAGGAAGTTTTAAGATTTTAATGTTTTTTTCACAGAAAAAACATTTAACTATTGAATCGTACACAATATATTTAAAATATTTTCATTTTTACTTTTTTCGCTCATTCATTTGTTCTATATCTTTTGTCCTTTTTTCATATACTTTTTCCTTATTTTTCGTTTCTTTTAGTAGTGAAATTTTCTGCTTCGCTTACTTTTGTTTTAAATTTTTTCATTTTACATTTTTACTTTTTCAGCTTATATTTTTTTAGTTTCGCTTTGTTCGTTCTTCCTTTCTTATTTTCTTTCATTCTTCGTTCATTTTTGTCAAATCAAAGTTGTTTTTGATGGAAATTACAGAAACTGTTTATCTTTGTAAATAACGTACACAGTCTGTTTAATAAATAATTAAATACGAACGTACATTTATCAGTTTGGTTCATAGACAGCTAAATTTCTGTTCTCGTTTCCGTCAGGTTGTTACGGCGTCAATCCTGACACGAAACAGGAGGGCTGGATGTGTTCTCGGTGCACTGCGGCCGAATGGACAGCCGTAAGTATCGCAAATAGCTTTCACGCGAACATGGATCAGTTAAAATCATTGATATTAAAAATGACTTTTCACATACAAGTCTTGAGCAGAAATGTGAACGTTGAACCTCTATATGGCACATTTACTGTTGCCTTAAACCGTTGTGTTCATGATTGTGTTCATTCGAGTTGTTTATTCGTCGCAGGCCTGCTGTTTGTGCAGTTTAAGAGGAGGAGCTTTGAAGAAAACCACAGATGACAGGTCTAATATCTCAAACTCTGTTTCTCTCATATCGCATGTTAATTACGAGGAGATCCGCGGCATCTGTTCATGCATGTTTATCAAACGAGCTCTGCAGTAACCGTGCGTTTGGTGTCCCGTCCGCAGGTGGGTTCACGTGATCTGCGCCGTCGCTGTGGCCGAGGCTCGTTTCGTTAACGCTGTGGAGCGAGAGCCTGTGGACGTGACGGCCGTCCCCGACACCAGGAAGAGTCTGGTGAGTCAGGATGAAACCACACTCCTCCTCGTTATTTTACCACGTAATGTTTTAAAATGGAGATTTCTCTGTTTGTTCATTCGCTCGTTTGCGCCTCCTTTGATTTGTTCTGTTGTAGATGTTCGTGTTTTACATTTTTGTGTTTGTGCTTTTGTTTATTGTCTTTCCCTTTCGTTCTTTATTTTTTGTTCATATTGTAGCTTAGTTTATTTTTCTTGCTTTTTACATTTTTTTTCTTTCGTTTTTTTACTTTTTTGTTTGTTAATTCGTAAACGTTTCGTTAGTTTGTTCTGTTTCATTTGTGCTTTTGTTTTGTTTTTTGTTCATTACTGATTAGTTTTTCATTTTTGTTTTTCATACCTTATTTGTTTTTTCTTACGTTGTTTTTCTTTTTCGCTGTGTTCTTTTTTTTAACTTTTAGTTCGTCAATTTTTTTCTCATTCATTTGTTTGTTCTGTTCCATTTGTGCTTTTGTTTTTTTTTTTGTTCATTACTAGTTAGTTTGTTTTATTTTTGTTTTTCATTCCTTTCATTAGTTTTTTCTAGCATTGTTTTTCTTTTTCACTGTTTTGTTCTTTTTTTTTTTTACTTTTTTCGTTTGAGTTTGTAAATTTTTCGCTCGTTCATTTGTTTGTTCTGTTTCATTTGTGCTTTTGTTTTTTTGTTCATTCCTAATTAGTTTGTTTCATTTGTGTTTTTCGTTTCTTGTGTTTTTCTCTTTTTGCTGTTTTTTTTCCCCATTTTTGTTCATTTGTGTTTTTGATTTTTTTTGTTCATTCTTTGTTTCATTTGTTTTTCATTCCTTTTATTTGGTTTTTCTTTTGTTTAAATTTTTTAATTCTTTAGTTTTTTTTCTTTACTTTTGTTTGTTTTTTTTGTTTAGTAAATTTTTCGTTCATTCTTTTGTTTGCTCTCTGTTTCTTCCGTTCTTTCTGTTCTTTCATATGTGCATTCATTTTTTTGTTGTTTGCTTCTTGTTTTTTTTCTCTTTAATGATTTCTTTATTTTGTTTGTTCTTTTTACTTTCATTTAATTAATTTAATTTAATTTTGTATTGTTTTCACTTCGCTTTCATTTGTTTATTCTTTTACTTAATGGCCTTTTCTTAGTTTTTTTTTTCTTAGATTGTTTCATTCTTTTTGTTCTTTTGTTGGTATTTTTATACTTTTAGTTTCTTTGTTAATTTTTCGTTCATTCTTTTGTTTCTTTTCATTCACTGTTTCTGTTTCCGTCATTTTTTTATTCTTTCATTTGTGCTTTATTTCTTTTCTAATTTGTTTCTCTTTATTTTATCTATTTATTTTTTCTTTTGTTTCTGCTTGTTTCTTTCATTATTTCTTTCGTTTTGTTCTTTCCATTCATTCATGGTATTTTTTTTTTTTTCAGTTTTTAGTTAATTTCTTTTGCTTAATTTCTTTTGTTCTTTCATGTTTGTTTCTTGCTTTTGTCTTTCTTTCATTCATTCGTTCTTTAATTTCTCACTTGTTTCATTCATTATTCTAATTCTTTCATTGATATTTTTTAGTTTTTGGCTTCTTTAGTTTGTTTTCATCAATTCGTTCATTTTTCTCTCATTCATTATTTTGTGTTTTCTTTTTTTTCTTTGTTCATTATTTAGTTTCTTTCTTTTGCCTTTTTCGTTCTTTCACTCTTTCTTTACTCTGTTTTTTCTTTCATTTGTATTTTCATGTTTTATTGTTGTCATTCTCCCTCTCTCTTTCTCAGAGGATATGATGCATTATTAATGATGTGCAATGGCTGAATAATCAGGTGTCGTTCCTCACTGTGCTAAATGAGCTGCATTGATTATATAGGCAGGTTTCTTCTCCTCCGCCGTGCATCTGAACGCTGCTCAATGCATTTGTGCCGACAAATACACAACCCAGAGCATCTTCAGCACATGATGACATGAAAAACGTGCTTCGGCGAGACTCATAAACCTCTCGTACTGTTAATACGGCTGACTTGCGCTACCAGTCGCCATTAGCAAGCGGAAAAACCCAGGTTTGCTGGAAATCAGTGCAGTAACGAATGAACACCAAACATTTAGTTTCACTCTAGAACAAGAAACAGCGTCGTATTGTAGATTAAAAGGAGGCCGCTTTATCTGCCAGCTCTTGATGTATGAATGAATAACTGAGAGCTCGATGCTCATAAATCACGTATATTTTTTTCCCTTCTCTTGTCCATTGGCCTGTCTTGCGATCAATCCCTGGCGAATGATAAAGCAGAGGCTTTCACCGGCCGATGAAATATTTTGAGCCGGCACCTCATCGAAAGGCCGTCGTACATTACGGCCGCTTGGCCACAGGAGGCTGAAATGAAGTATTGACAATTTAATAAAGAATTTTTATTCCTGTCGATATCTGTCTGTGTGTGTATGTGTATGTGTGTGCGTTTGGAGGCGATTTATGCGGAAATGCAGGAGAAGAGGAGAGAGACGGGGATGAACGGACACAAAATGTTTCCATTTGAGAGGATATTAGAAAAAAAAAAAGCTAAAATATCAACTGCTTTTATTTTCAAATGCACTCTCGTGCCACAAACTCAGCCCTAATTTCTGCGTAAGACTGTTTGTGTTCACTTTATTAGTAAATGTTCATCTTTGTAATCTTTCATCGGAGCTGCTGCTGCTGCGCTCTTGAAATGACTTTCGTTTTCAGCTGACACGTGAAAATAATGTTAGCCAAAAGCCAAATAGCTGCTTAGCATTGACTTAGCAAACTCAGGCCACATTCTGGTGTGAAACTGCCTTTTTCTGATGCGTAAAATCGCTTTTTCTCATTTAATATCTTATTACTAAATGTCTAGTTTTTCGTTCGTTCTTGTTCATTTGCTTGGTGTTTGTTTGTTTCGTTGTTTCTGTTCTCTTTTGTTTCTTGTTATTTTTTTATTTCATTTGGACTTTTGTTTGTTTTTGTTCAATCTTAATTTGTTTCTTGATGTTGTTTTTCAGTTCTTTCACTATTTCTGTCCTTCATTCTTTTCTCTATTTTTTTGTTCGGTTTTTTTCTTCAGTTCGTTAGGTTTCTACATTTGTTTTCATTTCATGTTCTTTTATTCTTTCATTATTTCTTTCTTTTACTTTGTTCTCTTTAGTTTTGTTCTTGCATTCGTTTTGTTTCATTCTTTTCTCTATTTTTTGTTTCTTTGTTTTGTTTTACTGTTTCCTTTCTACTTTTATGTTCATTCGTACTTATACTTGTTTTTCTTTATTTTGTTTTCATTCTTTTTCATGTAGTTTCCTTCCTTTGTTTCTTTTGCTGTTTGTTTAATTCATTTTTATTTAATTTGTTCATTGTTTTTTTCTCCATATTTTTGTTCCTTTCTTTTAGTTCGTTTCCCTTCTACTTTTGTTTTCCTACAATCTTTTCTCTATTTTCTTTTTTGTTTTGTTTCTTCTCCACTTTTGTTTTCATTCATTTATATATGTGTTTGTTGTTCTTGTATTCTTTTGTTTGTTTGTTTTCTTTCATTCTTTGTTTCTTTCATTCATTCTTTTCTCTATTTTTGTTTCTGTTTATTTTAGTTCGTTTCCTTTCTGCTTTTGTTTTCATTTTTTCTCTCTTGTTTTCTTTTGTTTCTATTTGTTTCGTTTTTTTCCTTCTCTACTTTTGTTTTCATTTATTCAAATATTTGTTTTGTTTGTTTTTCTGTTTCTTTACTTCGTTCTTTAATTATTTTGCATGTGCTTTGTCTTTCCTTTTTTGTTTCTTTTGCTGTTTGTTTTCCTTTGTTTCTTTTATTTCGTTTCCTTTTCTACTTTTGTTTTAATTCATTCTTCTCTATTTTGTTCTTTTCATTCGTTGTTTTCATTAGTTTTCTTTCTGTTTCTATTTCTTTAGTCTATTCTTTTGTTTGTGTTTTTTCTTTCATTCTTAGTTTCTTATGCTGTCTGTTTTCTTTCATTTTGTTCTTGTTTTGGCTTCTGCTTTTGAATTAGTTCATGTTTTAGTTTTGTTTTTTTCTCGCTAATTCATTGCTTTGTTCTCCCTGTTTCGGTTTGTTTATTCCATTTTGTTGTTGTTGTTTTTTGCCTTTTTTTGGTTCATTCTTATGTTGTTTCTTTCAGTTTTTTTTTTTATACTTTTCTAAAATTGACTGTCCTTTTGAACATTGTGGATGTTTTATTTTAGTTCACACATTAATAAATGTTTCATTATAAAAGGCTTCTGAAATTACGTTCTTTTTTTAGCTGTTTACCATCAGCCTAATAGCTATATTGCATTGAACTCCCATTCGGCTTAGGCTCCAATTTCCAGTAGGCCCTTTAAATGGATAAAAATGACAATTTGTCATTGAGTATCCTGGAAATTTGACATGTTACAAAGGCTGTAATTCATGTTTCTTGTTGACATTTCCTCGTTACGATTTGCAGAAGTGCGTCTACTGCCACAAGACGACCAAGCAGTTCTTCGGTTATACGCTTAATGTGTGTGTGTGTGTGTATATATATATATATATATGTGTGTGTGTGTGTGTGTGTGTGTGTCATTTCATATTATTTTATATAATTATTATTTTCTATTAAGATAAACAATATATATATTATAAATATTATTATATATATTTATTAATATATAATTATAAATGAAATAATAATTAATTTTGATTTAAATATTTTACACACATATAATTGAGTGTTGATGTTTTATAAATATTTAAATATGGAATAATATATATAATTGCTTTTTAATTTAGTTAACAACAGTTAACAGATTTTTAGCAGTTTTTTTGCATTTCTATTTTCTATTTTCTACATGTATAATTGGAAAATTGTTTCCCAAGAATGTTAGTAAGATGGCTGCTGAGCAAACCGAAACGATGCTAGTGGTTTTTCTAAATTTGGATCGTTTTAAAAAATGTGGTTCCAAGAAAAGGCTCCAAGGCGTCTAAACTGTATTTCCTTCCAGGTGGAGTTTCAGGACGAGACGCAGATCTTACTGAAGCGCAGCGAGATTCACTCTCTGGACCATGAGCTGCCCAAGAGGGTCATGTCTCGTCTGGTAAGCGCTTTTATTTGCTTCAGGCCGAGTACCGTATGTTTCTGCACACAGAATTCATGAACGTGAAGTCAAAGTGCAGGTTTAACACTTTATGGCTTTCGTGTTTGTCAAACTAGAAGGTTTATCAAGCTAACAGTGCAGTTGGAGCTGAAGGTGTGCCGATCTGATTATCGGTATCGGCTCCGATGCTGCCATTTTCTGCCAGATCGGGTAGCGGTCAGACGAGACCGATCCAAATCCAATATTCAGGGTTCCTACGCAGTTTGGAAAAGTATGGAATTTGATTTAAGTAATTTCCAGGTCTAGAGGAGTATGGAAAAAAGAAAGCAGAGTATGCTTTCTTTTTAACTTAAATTTAAAACTGTTCAAAGAAAAGGCTCAATAAACTATCGCACAGATATAATACACTATGCATCAATATCTCTTCTCTTTGCGCTTTGAACTTTTCTATGCAAAGTGCTGGGCACTGTGACTCTGTGTTGCTTCAAGTAGGCCTATCGCAATAATCAATATATCGACTTATCGCACAGTATATGTACATGACCTCAATAAGTTTTGGTGACGCAATATATCGCCCATTATATTTACTTAAAAATTAATGTCACCATGTTTTGTACATTCCACTTGCGCCTGTGTCTTTTGCAGCTTCTCGTACATAATGTGGTGTAGAGGTGCTAGTTTCATCTGCAGATATGGTCTTGTTTAGGGATCTGTGTCTTTGTGCATACAGACATCTGACTGCTAAGTAGTGATTGTGTTTCTCAGCAATAGTGTGCACCCTTAATTTACAGAGAAAAGAAGGTCAGGGAAAAATCTGTAGATGGAAAAATCTCCATACAAGTTCTTTGTGCATTTTTCTTTTTTTCTACTTGTTTGCACTTTTTGTTAGAAAATGTTTATTTACTATTTATTCAAGTTTTTTAAGGT